AATAATTCCCCAAAATCAATAACTCATTAAGTGTTCGACATTGGATGCAGACCATTGTTTAAGTGGACTTGTTTAACTGAAGGCTTTCGGCCATCCATCCGTATCAAATCACGTTACGATCCAACGTGGGACACAGCTCCTACGTTCGCTAGCCAGATCAGAGTAAACGCTTCTCGATATATTGATAACGTATGAAATATATCTTTCCTACCTCTTCTCGTCTGACTTCTGATTTCGACTGGTTGGGGTAGCTTCGAACATAGAAGGTGTTACTGGTCACTAGTTGTCAAACTAGAATACCATTCGTGATTTCACGACTAAAGCTTATTTCAGAAGCCGACCATGCTATATCACTGATGTAGTAGCGAATGTTCGCCTTCGCATAAAAAATAGCAACCTTATTTTGGTTTCAACATGGAGGGGTGTTCGAACTATCTACATACAGTGAAGAATCTATGACTGCATACAGGAAATGGGACAATTCTTTCAACGTTAGTTCAAGTTAGCTCAGGTAACGAAGTCTTAATATCATAGGTTTCGCAATGCTTATCATAGAAGAAGGCTCGCTTAAACATCGGAAAGTAGATGTTGATATAAAACAACAGAAAATACTAGATGCAAAAACCTGTAACAGTAAATAAATCCTCAAAAGAAATGGTTCTATTAGTCTTCGCCAGTGATGCTGATCCCAATATGTTTACTGGACACACCCTAGCTACAAGCGTTGTGAAACCCGGAATGCCTGCGGCATATGTAATGTTGATCTTGGCATGATCTGGTACCCAAAACAATAAACTGTGAATATGTTCCTCGTAATGTGAGAAGCCATCACCTAGAACTTCAACTGGTAGTTTATATCAAATAATTCATAAGTTTGAACCTTGCTGATTTCCGAACACCGGCTGGGAATTGGATATATCGTAGTATTCGATTATGCATATACAGTTGGGATTTCGTCGTTTTTTAGTAATTAATGGTGATTTATATTACTCCTCTACACCTTCAATATCTTCACCTTACTGTAACCGCTGTAGTAATACGGGATCAAAATTTTCCATGTCTTCTGAAGACAGCCAGATTTATAGATTTAAAACCACGCAAAACTTAATTGTATTGGTTGGTAAATCAGGTATGGTGAACTCATATTTCTCCACGTAAGTAGTGCCCAACAAACTATGACCAGGATGATTGTGAAACATCCAGTTAAGAAATCCCTCAAGACAGTAATAACCAAGAAAATCAGAACTAAACTGTCACTTGATTATTCCTAAACCCTGTGATTTGTTTGTTCGACAGAAAGTATACTTGAACACAGCAAAAATGTATTCGAATCCAACTTCGTGCTACCTTACTGTGATGACTTGAAGTACTTGAATCAAAGTATAAACTAGTAATCCCAGAATTTAATCAAGAAGTATTGGATGAACACGAATGAAGGCACTGTATTTGGAATTCGAAATCAAGCGGTCATCAATACAAAAGAATCATTGGTTCATACAAACACCACACCCGACACAGCATAAATGAAGATCCAGATTTCGGCGACCAATCGTACCTCTTCTCTTTAGGCTCATCACGTATCTGCCTGATTGTATAGTATATGTAGGCTCTGTAAGATCTAGAACACACTCATTAGTATTATAATTACCAACCAAAACTGAAAAAAACTGACCTGGGTTCTGGAATTGTATACAATTATCATGCCGGTTGTGCACTAAAACCACTGATATCTAGAGCTTGCATCATAAAGTTTCCAAAAATATCCTCCCCCTCGAAATAATGTTGGGTCCTTACGTCGCAATGTCATAACCAAATATGATGTTCCCAGTTTACATTGTCTTCTCGAATCTTACGCTTCGATTACTGTACGTGAGTATTCGGGGATAGACACTGATATATAATTTGAGGCATTCCATCCTGTGATTTTGACTTGCATAAAAATTATGATAAATATTCTTTTTTTATTCATATTAGAATACACAGAAAGATATGCATAGGTATATGTAATTAACACATGTGATTCATCTAGGCTTGATTTATCTGCGAAACAATCGAATGGAAAACATTCATCTGCCTCATACTCATTAGGATGTATTTCGGAATGAATTCGGATTTTCTACCTGTACAAACTCCATATCTGTGTAAATTAATTCTCTAATGGCTTCGGGAAAACCTGCTATTCCCTCTGATTCGCCATACCACTTACTAGGGATTCCACTCAACAAAAATTGTTCATAAGAATATCCAACATCTGATGCAGTAACATTGGAAATGTAACTAGAATTCAACTCATTCGGAGCATATTGTTCACATTCATTAGAAATATCAATAAAAATAAATTCATTGTGATGACCACTGACACTTGATATGATATCAGAATTTAAATTTTTCTGAAATATTTCCCTCAAACTTATTAAGAGTTCCATTAGACAATAATGGATCATCAGGAAAATTAGCATCCACCAAAACTGAATCCGGTTTCTGATCATGATTTGACTCATTCAACATATTATTTTCAGAGTTGTAAGAAATTTCATCAAAAATACGTGAATTATTACGACAAACCATATCTGTTACAATAACACGAGAAATCCGATAAGACGTTAGTTGATTAGAAACTTTTGTCTCACAATGATTCTGGGTTTCATTTAACTTTGGACTGCTGTGTGACGTTATACCGCTTCTAGAAGTCTTGAATAAAGATAAGTGATCATTAGAAACAGGCAACTTAATAGGATCATAGGTTCATACAAAAACCACACGTACTCATGCATAAAATGCGTATGCATATTCTAAAGAGATTATTCATTCGTTCAATTGTTTTTTAAATTCAGATTGACCTACAAATCTGTCGTTGGCATAATACAATATGCAGTTATTCCCATTCGCACTACATCGTCGGGTTGATCTAATAAACTCTCAAACAAAATTAGTCAAACTATAGTTCTCACAAAAATTTACAAATCAGCGAACACACCTAGATTGACACCAAAAGACAAAAAAGGGTTTATTTCGTCAGAAGCAACCTTTACAATTTTCATGCATTAGCACACTAGGTAAGCATGAGAACATCTGAAGACTACGCTAAACTACACTCACGCAACCGGACTCAACAACTTCAAATACAAGGTGTTCGCAATGAACTAATCCATCCTAGGTTGATCAAACAAAGGATTGTGTCCTGTGAACAGTTTGAGATGTTTGATGAGACGACAACAAAGAACTAGATGTATTAAAACTAACGAGGAAAATACCAGTGATCGGTGCTCTATGAAGACCAGAAATTATGGAGTTCAAAATGCTTAACAGTTACGTATGGTCCTGCATCAAAGTCAAAAAAACACCGCAAACACAATTCGATACATTGCATTCGAGACTCAGATTAATCATGAAAGAAGTTTAAATAAATCATAATTTCATGTAAATATAACACATCCTACTAGATGTTACTGTTTGTTTACATCAATTAGTCTAGGTAGGAAATTTCCAGCATCCTTAATGCTAGGGAGATGCTCTCACTTCCGACTGCTTGCAAGGTGGGAATTCGTACAAAATAATGAGATTCACAGGCAAATAAATGCGAACAAACAGTTTCCAACAAAAACAGAATTTTAGATATGATCTTTAATCAAGAAAGGCACAAGATCAAGTGATCAATGATGGCAAAAATCTTGTTTGTTTGACCCTGAAGTTGATTTTAATAAAGCTGTGATCAACATCAAAGTGACGGAAGTTAGTTGAACGGATGTTTATGTACCCTTAAAGGATCAACGATACCATTATATTAATTTGACTGGCAACCTTTCATTATAAAGTGGTAGATGATGTTACGGCTTTCCATTGGATAGTTCCAAATAAGTTAATAGTTTACCTTCTCTCGAAGTCTGTTTTATTTCTCCCCAACATAAATGGAAAAGTATGAAGGTAAATTTATGTACCTTCCCCTTTACGTTCACGCTACAGTAGAACAAGGGAATATCTGATCGTAAAATTATGATAATTAGAAGTATGTGAATTATTATAAAAATTAGGAGTACCGGAAATAAATTAATTTAAGTTAGGGAGAACTAGGTGAGCACAGACGAACGTGTTGTATTGGGGATTAAAAACCGAGCAATCACCAAGTACATAGGAACCATTAGTTCATACAAATATTACAGCCCCCACAGCTTTATTGAGAATCTAAGTTTCTGTGATAAATTGAACGTCTTCCCTTTAAGTTCATCGTATGTCCGTCGGACTGTGTATTGAATACCGAATAACTATGGTCTACAATATTCTCATTAACATTATGATCAACAACTAAAGTCAGAATTGGCTCACCTGGGTCCTGCAATTGCATACAATCACCATGCCGGTAGTCTATTGAAATCACTGATATGTAGAATTCGAATCGTAGATTTCCTCACACTATATCCCCCCATGAAATAATGTTACATCTTCATATCCTCAAGTTATAAATGTTGTGGCTCCACCTTACACATGTTTCTCACACTGATTAGAGTATTAATTACAAGCGACTTCATGATGAGGATAAACAAATCTCGGCATGAATTCATAGGAACTGTAATCAATATCGAGCTCATTTAGGACTCCTGCTCTGCATTGAACGAGTTTCCGACAAGAAACAACTGCATTATTAGGATAAATAACATATGACATAACACCATGATTTGATTCCTCCCTAAATATTTACCTCAAACTTATTAAGAATGTCATCTTCTTGTCAATTCCTGGACACTATTTCTTAGTGTATGGCGTATAGTTATTCAATTTAATTGTCCACTTCTACATATTTATCCGGTTACTAATTTATTTAGTTACTGTACCGCAATTGATTCATACATTTAATGCAACAAATGAAAGAGCTCAACGGTAATTAGACAATCGAAAGTATTAAAATCCAATTTGCTTAAGACGAGTGTGATGACTCACACTTCAGAAAGATATTGCGTTTGTCATGCAATGTTTGTTTTTCTCTACTACTAAAGACACTGCTGGTTTCATCCGCGACACTCGGTTAGTATATTTTTTTACGCGTGAGTTGTTCAATGCATTATGTTTTTCAAACGGTCGTACTTTTACAGTGAACAGTAAGTGTCTTTCGAACCATTTAAGACTAAAGAATCCTAAAAATCACCCATAAGCGCACAATATCAGCGACCGAGATTTATATTTTCTAGTCGAAATCAGAAGTAGCAAATGAACTTAAATTTATCTCATCAGGTATTAACTTGAATTAATTTTATGGTACCTAATGTTTTTAAAATAAATTCTTATGGACTTCTCCATTTAATAGCTCATCACACAATTCTAAAAAGATAAGAGGTATATACTTCAAATACTTTCAAGGAAATATAACACTTAACTAAATTTAGAGATAAAACTACCCAGCTGACAAGTATCAGCATGAAATATTTATTTTTGACAAAAACAGTTTGTCTTTTGAATTTTCGTGATCTAAATGTATCTGATTCTCATATTTTGTCCTACTTTCCCTAAATAATTCCTGCAGGAATAGTAGCTTGATGTCGATCACTTAATGGTCTTCTTAAGCCAGTCTTGTGGAACCAAGTTCTCAAATCGCAGGCACATACCAAGCTCTTAATAATGGTTTCATACATTTGTACTCCCTTCAGTCACTTTAATTCTTAGAACTATATATTTGGTTTTCAAATTGATAATTAATTGTGTACTGGGAACGTACTGTTGAAATTTTAAGCTTTATCATGTAGAAGCGATTATAATTTATTTAAGTACGAAATTTTCCAAAAATCCGTAGCACTATTTGCGATTTCACTACTGTGACACATAAAAATAGCTATAAGCAATAAAATGTAGGACATTGTCAGTCCTTTCTACAGTTGACAAAATGAATATAAATTCTTGAAACAATATCACTTAGCTACATCTTGTTAGCGGAATAAACCGATTATTTTGAATAACTGAAATGGTTACATGCTGTAGGAATATAGAAGAGGATAACTAGAAGCTACAAAATAGACTAATAATTTGGTAAATGAAACAAGTGTCAGCCATTTATATTATCCTTCACCACAAATTTTACACGACCAAAAATTAATTGCTATTAGTCCGTATACTGTGACCAGTATTCACGAAGAAATTTATGACCGTTTGTTTAGCCGGAAACGTCATCACTAAATATTTGGCTGAATAACAACAAATCACTTCTCATCAGCTAAAATACGACGGAAACGCTAAATAGATTAACCTCAATCATTGTCTTCATGTTCAAATATCAAGTTATCATTTTTTTCTCTAGAACCTTAAACAAAATTTCATAAACTACAATCAATGTTTCTGAGTTATATCACCTAAATTTAACCCTCTTATACTGAAGTTAACGTAATTTTTATTGCTTTATTTTCAGACATGTTGTGCTCTGTTATATTAATCTATTGTAAATCAAACCATTTCAGTAAAAAGTGGTATTCTAAACGAGTCACATAGTATAAACTGAGTATACAGTAATATATTGACTTGACGCTAAAATCTAATAAAGATCTTGCAGTTGTAAACGAGCACTTTGGAAAATACGTTTTATATAGTTACTGGGGCTTACTCTTTATTGCGCTTAAATATGCGTAATCTGCAAATTTCAACTCATGGAAACAAAAGTCGAATATGTCGACTGTGGAAACATTATCGTATATTACTATGGAAGGACTACTTGATACGTCGTCGAGGCTTTTGGCTCATAGCAGCTGAGTCATTCTTTGTCTTGATATTTGTTGTTGCTATCGCTTTAATTCGAAGGCGTCATGCGATTGATACTAAATCATCATGTTTCTTTCAAAGCCAAAGCATGTCAAGTATGGGATTATTGAACTATATCCAGTCACTAATCTGTAATTTTAACTACACATGTAATGAAAAAGATCCTCGGAGTTTTGTTACGTTAAATGGGCTCGCTCCCATGATTTACTTTCTTGATAACTTAACGCATGTCGCAGATGATCCTGTTTTCAATAAATGGTGAGTATAGTTTCTTATCTTTTTAAAAGGAGACGCCATTTATTTTCTTTTGCTACGGGATTTTGATGGTACCCAACATCATTTCTTGTTCTATGATGGGGAAATGGTTTAAACAGAAGTAAAGGTTGTAGCTGGTTCTTAATCACCAACATGATGTGTTGTTGATTTTGTCCTCTGCCAGGCAAGCTAGGATGGCAAGTTCATGTAAGTCCACCAACTGTTTAAGAGGTTGAAAAAGCTATAAAAAATCTGAAATGTGGGAGAGCAGCAGGCCCTGACAAGTTTACTCCCGAGATTTTTAAAGATGGCGGTCCAGCAGTAGCAGCGAGATTGACTGAGGTCTTCGGTAGAATCTGGGAACTGAACGTAATCCCATATGACTGGTCCCAATCACTGATTGTGCCAGTCTATAAGAAAGGAAAAAAGTACTCTTGTGACAATCACGGAGGAACCAGTATGACTCATATAGTGTCTAAAATATTAGCTTCAATAATACTTCGACGCCTAATCAAACCTTATGAAGAGCAGACTAGAGAAAACCAAGTTGGTTTTTGACCTGGACGTGGTTGTATAGACCAGATATTCACTCTACGTCAGGTTCTAGAACATAGACACAAATTCAAACGTCCCACAATAGTATTATTTCTCGACCTTAAGGAAGCATTTGACTCTATTGATCTTGAGGTTCTATGGCAGTGTTTGTCACTGAAAGGAGTACCAAAAACGTGCATTAACCTTATAAAAGTTCTACTCAAACACGACTGGTTTAGTTAGAGCTTATGGAGAACTGTCATCAGAATTGATCACCTCAAGTGGTGTTCGTCAGGGCTGTTCACTCTCTCCATTCTTGTTTAACTTTGTCGTCTACATGCTTTTAGCGATATCACTTTCATCATCTTAATCTCCAGGAGTTGAACTTTTACGGAGAAACTTACTTGTAGACTTGAAATACGCTAATGATATAGTTCTATTTGGTGAAGACGCTGACAAAATGTAGTCTTTTGACCACTATAAACAACAATGCAGGCATGTTCGGGATGCGATACTCTCCCTCGAAATGCAAAATGTTACTTCAGGATTGGGTTGCATCGACACCTGAACTAATGATAGGGAGTGAAGTAGTTAAGCATTTTGACCGCTTCACTTATCTTGGGAGTCTCATCAGCCCTTGTGGTCTGGTGTGAAGAAATCTCAGCACGGACACAGAAGGTCCGTCTAGCTTTCGCCAACTTGCGTCATTTATGGCGTAGGCAAGATATCCGTCTAGCATCCAAAGGACGGGTTTACAGCTCAACCGTTCGTTGTGTCTTACTTTATGGCTATGAAACGTGGTCGGTATGAGTAGAGGATATTCGTAGGATACTAGTATTCGATCATAGGTGTCTTCGAAGCATCGCTCGTATATACTGGGACCACCGAGTAATTAATGCAGTTGTTATGAATCGGGTACTAGGTAAGGACAGCAAATCGATTTATGAAATAATGAAACTTCATCAGTTGAAATTGCTGGGAAATGTGGTACATATGCCCAACCACCAACTGTCCCGACGTGCAATGTTTTATGGTGTAGGAGTAGGTTGGGAGGAAGTCAGGGGCAGCCAGACCGAGACGTGGCACAAATCGATGAAGTCACTGACAAGTGAACTGTATTTATTATTTATTTAAACGCATAAATATTGGTACAAGGGCGCACCAGATAAATATGCGTCACACAAATCTCATTTCATCTCTGTGAGGGCTGTGATACTGCCCAGGTGCTCAGACTGAAGCACGTGGTTTTCTTAGGAAGCCACACCCGGAGTCTTTGACCTAAAGGTCTGATCTACAAGACAGTGGAGCATCGAGAGAAGATGCACTCTCATGGTAGCCGGTGACCAACGATTGGTTCATACGCCATTTGTTGTGTCAGGATACTGGAGCCCATGTGCACCATTGGTTTGGAATCAGGGTTTTCCAACTCCCCTAGGTGAACTTTCCATGTCCACCAAGCTGGTTAAAGCGCCGGACATTCGCTTTTCGTCCTGTCAATTTTGTAAACAACAGTAATGCCACTGTGAGAAGGCAGTGAGTAGGACTTCCCTGGTAGAGGCTATATATTTGGGTGGCCATGAGAGCATTTCGAGAAAGAGGGCGGGTCCTCCCCACTGTCGGTCGTACCAGGGCATTTTGGGAATGAGACATGTTGGTAGGTGTAGACTACCTAGTTGGAATCTGTGAGGTGATAACACCCGATGGTTAAAGACCCTGAATGACATGGCTCAAAATCGTTTGCATTGGCAAAGGTGCATCCAATCTTTGTGTTCTCCCAAATTCTAATCTTCTGAATACTTCATGTCTCAATCTATTTCACTGGATTATATTCCTTGAATAACATCTTCAAACCCTAATCTTTCGGATTAGCGCTTTACTCTTACTACTTCTACCACTATGGGATTTGAATCGACAATTGCATCCCTATGCCAATGTGGTATGGCAACTGGGACTGATGCACGTATGTACGAAGTTCTACGTTGTGACTGACTGACTGACTGACTGAGGTAATATAGTAAGGGCGTCTTGAATGTATTTTTGTTTTACTTCCACTTCTTTACTGAAACATAGACTGTTCAATCAATTTATGAAACCATGTAAATATGGCTAAAACCAAGTTCTCTGAAAGGTAAATTGACCAGATAATACTCTCTTTAATTGTTTGACTGACAACAGTTATGTCCCATATTTTAATTTGTTCTGGTTAACGGATGACATCGATTGTCTCGAATTTCGTGGACGATCTACTCATTTGTTTGCTTATCGACCTCAACAGATGTTCATATCTAAGTTATGCAGAGACATTATCCAATCGACAAGAATAATTATCAACTTTCAAATTTTATATTGTGTACTATCGGTGTACATCAGTTATTATGTGAAGCCATTCCTAATCAATATATGAAACCCATAGTTATCCTGTTTGTTAAGAAGTCCTTAGTAACGAATCTCAATGAATGATGAAGCTGAGTTTTATACGTTGTTTTGTTACTTTTATTGAAACTATCCCGAAAAGCTCAATTCGCCAAATAAATAATTTGCTTTACCATAGTTAATTAACTCGATGATAAAAAAATACGGATGTAAACATTCCTAGATCTTCAGAGTGAACTATTCTCCTCACTTGCAATTCATTTTTGTTGGGATATTATCATGGGACTATGGTTTTTATTTATGTTCAAATTTACTCTTTAAGACTTCATTTTATGTATAGGATCATGTTGTTAATATGCCTATCATCAAATTAATCCTTATGCTGTCAAATTTCATAACGTCTTGGAATCAGAAGTAAAATTTAGCTCAACGGCATTCTTTAAAATATCATTGTACTTAGAAGTAAGACAAAATGATATCACTAAGAAATAACCATGTCAATTTATTTCGGTATATTTGTCTGTAATTACCACATTCATCTAATTTGAGTAGTTTTTCAGTATTAGTGACATTGGAAACCATTTGAACTAACTTTTATGTAATAAAAGTATAATGTTTTTCATAAAGGTATTTTCAGTAAATTACAATATCTTCATCTACTGAATGCAGTCGTATTTTGCAGTCAACAACCGAAGCGAACTCTCTTTCGATATATATATAAAGACAATTCACAAATAGACCAGCCACAGATAAACTAAAAACACTGCATTTTCAATGAACCATTTATAATATTCTTACTTTGCATCCATCTTGCATAGAACTCGTCAGTTTTTACTTGTAGATCCATGTATTCCTCCAAAAGACAATACATTGGACAAGAGTTCCTTATCTTGATCTTTTACTAACCACTTTTAGAGATTTAGGTTGGTTTAACACCAAGTGTAGTAACAGCAGCTGTGTCTTAGTGATCCGGCTACTAAATGTTCAACAATTGTATTTATTTTATCACTAGAAAGTGATTAATATCGTGAATTTCTACTCTTAAGGATTCATATCCCCACAATAAATAAAATCAAGTTACGAACATCATTAGGTAAATGATCAGTACATGATCGTTTTTTATTCATAGCTTTGATTATTTATTCAAAGTAGATCAAACCAGATTGCAGTTTTGTAGATATTCACCAATCTAAAATCTTTAACGAATATCGCGAATCTTACCAATGCCTAACGCTTTTGATCTTCATAAATTAATGTTATTTGATAACAGAGAAATGTGGCTAAATCACTAAAAATAATTTCCTGTCGATTTGTGTTTCAATCTGTTGTCCCATACTCAAAATTTTGACTAAAAAGTTAACAAATACGGCTAACATCAAGTTATAGAACGCCGGAAATTCGATTTTACTGCCCGTTGGATTAGAGTAAACAAGTTATTTTTCTCAATAATTTAATTTATAACGTTTTACGTTATACCGTTCTTGGTATTCTTGACTGAACTTTGATCAATATAAATTGGTATATATTCATCCTGTGCAGATCACCTCAATATTACCATTATATCATGGGTTTTTACAAAATAGATGAGACCTGTTGGGGACACGTGTTTTATCCTATTTCGGACTCATTATTTAAATGTACCTTCATCCCATAGAGTGACGTTGACACCAGGACTCTAACCCATCAGCTTTTGTTTCTGGCTACTGGACACAATACCTCAGTAGATAAGGGAGTTTGCTTTTGAGGTGAAGGGCACTAGATTTGAGCCCAGGCGTGAATATGAACGCAAGGGTACAGGTTCATACAGCTGAAGAGAGTTACATTGTAGGCCTTATTTAATATATACTATAATTTTATCATGATGAACGAAGAATAACTACCATTTTCTTTCTGTTTGAGGAACATATTTAATGTGGAACATTTGTTTCGAGCCTACTGAATCATGCATTCTACCAAAAACTTTGGTCAAAATTGTTGTAACTAAGTAAATTCATCTAACAGTTGTTTATTAGCCATTATGCTTCATCTGATTAAAGTTTAGATAAATCTAAAAATGAACTCTGCTACAGAAAATAAATTATCTCAAACAATCACTA